CGTGCCAGAGGTTTTTCTCGCGGCTTCGCCTGCTCGTGGCTTCGGCCTACGGCCGAAGATGTGTCGGCCTTCGGCCAACACCGAAAATTTCCTCCGCACGCGAGAAAAACCTCTGGTACCCAGGGTAACGTTACAATGTTGCAAGGTAAGCCGCTAGAGTTTTCTGATTTCCATCGCTTCGCAGCTAATGCAGTAAGCGTAAACACTTCATTGTTAGGTGAGGGAGATTTACTATTTTGGTAATTTATTTATGTTTTTTTGGTAGCTAATGTACGCGTGAGGGAGAATCGACATGGCCAAATCATCGACATGGGGAAACCTTATCCTCAAGTAATCCGGAAAAACTTTTTAGATCTTCACAACAACGGTTTGACAATCAGACAAATAAGCGCTCAAGCACGAGTTAGTACCGGATTTATTACGAAAGTTATAAAGGAATATAATGAAAACAATTATTCTGTCCCGCGAAGGGCTCTAAGTGGACGTAAGGAGTCAGTTCTAACCGAAAATGTGCGCTCTTACCTGGAAGTTGAAAAGCTATGCAAGCCAAGCTCGTATAGTAACGAGCTACAAAGGAGATTATTGTTGGATGGTGTCAGTTTACCAGGGGAAATACGTGAGGTAAAATACGTGCATGCGTGAGAAGATTTTTCAACAAGGAACTCATAATGACTAAAAAGAAAATCATGCACGTTCCTTCAGAATCAACTGAAGGTCCAAACGTTGACAGTCAAAACGCATCCCTTGCAGAAGTCAACCAACTCGGTCCCAGCAGCTTGCATTTCTTCGATGAAACACCGAGGGAAATCGAAGAACTGCGATCGGAGATTATCATATTTTTTTTCTTTTGCGCGCAAAATGTGCTAATTTGGACTTGAAATCTTCTTGGCTAAATCCCCTCATAACTAGCTTCCTATTGCATGTAATCCCCCAGATATTAAGAGGCTGTCCGCGTAAGAACCGATAAGGCAAATTTCGGTCTATCACGGATTGCCCTGATTTTTCCAGTGGAAGATAACTATCCTATCCCATGAAGAAATATCACATTTATTTGGACCAACTCAATTTTTTATCTATATTACAAGAAGATTTTCGCGGTAACCTAAACCTGGCCAGTTTGCCGTCGGAAGTGGTGCGATTTTGGTGAAACTTTAGGGCTCTGTCAAACCTGCCTCACAAAGCCGAATAAGCTGATTATTTTACACACAAATGTTTTAACTCTGATTAATAGTTTCAAGGTTTAATGGTTGCATTCTGTGGAAAGTTGGCTGAGATATGATTTTTTTAAAATGACCTTTAATTTGCTTATCGGGAAACTTAATTTGCATAACTAGAGCTGAACGGTAATTTCGCAAAAGTGGCACCTGACCCAGACTCAAGTCTGTGATAAAACAGAAGTACTAAGACCAGTCTACTTCTTAATGCAATAAAATTTGTGGGCACTCCTTTTTGCGTGCTGTACAAAGTTCCGTTAATATTCCAAAATTCGCCATTTTGACAGCAAAGCTGGAATTGTAACGGTCTGCATCTGGTCGACTAATTTCCACAGCTTTAACATATCTAGTTATCACTAACTGTCATTAGACCCTTTAAATGTTGGACTTTCGAAAACATGTGAAGAAAACTTGGTAATCGCTTTTTCTTAGTTTTTTTTCTTGTCGACGATGAACATGACTTCATTCTCCGTATGCAAATTAGCCTTAGATGCGTCGTTTCAACAAATTGACAGGAAATATAATACTTGTATTTCATATTTTTAAGGGAAAAATATCTCTTCTTTCCACGGAAAAACACGAACGATGTATGACTTAGAATCCCCTTAGGTATGCTTCTTTTACGAGGAAGAAGCAGCAGAAGAAGATATGTTTACGCGAATTAAAATAGTTAAATTACTGTGGCTCGTCACGCATTCCCCCAGAGTGACCGTGTACCGATCACTTCTTTTATCTTATTATATCTTTTTTGGGGTGATAGTTATTGATAATCATACAATTTAATCACTGGTAATTCCGATTCTTTACTGGGTGGAAAATACCGTGCTGTTGTATTTATTCATTCTACGACCGTTTTAACTGAGTCAGTATCACCGGGCGCCACTAGGATAGGGTTTATTAATATGACGGCCCATGGTGTAATACACGACAATTAGCCAAAAAGTAGTCACTTGGAAAAAAAGAAAAAGGCATAGTTTTTTGTTTACGGTCCGTCTCCTGTTAAATCCCAAAAGTTTTTGCCGGCTGTTAATCACACTAAATTAAGGATCCCTATGTTGTCTATGTTTACTACTGAGCTGATGGAGAAAAGCACGTGCACTCAGTGAATGAAAGACGAAAGTTTGTAAATTAGGTCTCCTTTTCTTTCCCAGGATTTGAATGGTATTTTAAAGTGACACAAATTATTTTTTTTAGCATTACCCAGGGCTGTAGCTAGGTTTTTTGTAACGAGGGGCATTATCGCGAGAGCCGAAGGCACGAGCCTTGTAGGGGGGTCTGGGGGTGTCCTCCCCTAGAAAAATTTTCAAATTTGGAGGCTCCGAAATGCTATTTTCAGCACTTGTAATGAGATATGTCTCCGAAAAATCAACCTCGAAGATGAAAATGGCAAACAATTGCAAGTCACTATAATCAAAATAACTGAGTCTAAAGAAAACAAATCCATCCACAGACTTGATTTGTCTGGCCCAACAGGTCCAGGGGAGGCAGCTGCCCTACGGCTCTGTTACCACGTTGACTCACTTGGTTGATCTTTCTTTGACATACACATAGGTTGAAAGCTTCTGATTGAGGGTGTTGTGGTCTCAATTATTCTTCAGCGATTCCTGCAACAAGCTTTTGCCTTTCGAACACCTCGTCTTCTTGCTGCAGATCTCTATGGTCAAGTTCAATGTATATTCAAGTTCATTACATCGGTTATTTCATCCATTGCCTTATTGTAATTACACTTAGGACTATGTTTAGGTGTTGACTCAAACGGGCCTAGAGTCCAACATGGGCTGGCAATAGGTGAGCACGGAATTGGTACGGGGGTGGGGGGAACTCCCTATGATGGCCTATACGGGGAGGCTCCACCCGAAAAGGGTGTCTTTTTCAGGCTTCAGGTATATGAAAGGGCAGGCTTTCACTAGATGAAGTATATGAAAGGGCGAGTGCGCTTATTGCAGCCTTAGCAGCAGCTTTGGCGGTTCTTAAAGAAAAAAGAACTAAGTTTAAGAATTTAAGGAAAAAGTAGAAGGACTTAATTTTTCAGAAATTAATATACAGAGGAGAAATTTCACCCCTTTAAGTATAAATGCTTGTAAAAGTAGAGGTGTAACCGGAGGGAGAGAGGGTGGATGGTAAAGAAGGTTAAAAATAGAGAGATGGGAGGAGCACTTTGATAGAGCACATTGTTCAGAGGGTATAAATACAAATACAAATACAATCTGGAGGCATTTTTGAAGACTTAAGGTCATTCCCCTGAAATAGAACTTAACATAGATTTTTTCTCAAATTTTGTCTATTAACTATTCATCATACTGGGACTTCAAAATCAAAATAAAAAAGGGGGGTGCCGGTATTCGTTTACGAGCTGCGAGGGCTCAAACATACCCCCTTTGAGGCAATTTTCGAAACTTCCGGTTTGCTGCCTTGCACCATGGACTATATCAATAATTAGGCCTGACATCACTCGGAATACTATTGATTGTGCGAAATAAGGTTATACACATTTAGAGTTGGACAAGAGTAACACTTTCAAAAGGCTTTTGGTACGAAAACGCATACGTCGAGGAAGCACTTCCCTTAAGTCTGTTACCATGGTTACCATAATTTAAATGAAAAAATGGGTTTTGGCTTTATACTTTCCTTTATATCTTTTTTTCTGAACATAGAAAATTGTCCATTCTTTTTGTGTAGGCAGCCTATTGGTTGTAAAGTCAAACAAGCGAAAAAAAGAGGGGGGTGCCGGTATTCGCTTGGAAGCTATGCCATCATTTTCTGTTCCCAGGTGGGCAGGCCCATTTCTCTATCCAGGAGAAAAAACATCGTAAATTTAACTGTACTTATTCGTATAGATCTAATTTTTGGTTGGTAAGTGACAGGTTAAAGGGATGCTTTATCTGGGCTCCCGATTGAGGACAAAATGATGAAAAATGGTTGCCATGGCAACCAAATTAAAGTTACTTTGGTACAATAAAAAGATCAAGCAATACTGAATCTGACACTTTAATATGACACTTTAATTATAATTTCCGAGAAATTTTGCCTGTTACATAATACTTGCATGGCTTTCTTAATGAAATACCGTAAAATTTGAAAATAAGCCCCTCCATGTATAAGCCCCTCCAAATATAAGTCCCCAAAATCGTAATGCAAAAAACCCTCTGTTAAATCGCCCCTCTGAATATAAGCCCCGGGCTTGTACTTGGAATATGCCCTCGAATACAAAGCAAAACAAAGCAAAAATGGTAAATTTCCTTCCCACCACAAGCTAGCCCAATCGATTTTGAAACGCAAAATTTCCCTCCGTTACATAAGCCCCTCTGAATATAGGCCCCTCTAAAATAAGCCCCTCAAAAGGGCCTTTGAAAAATACAAGCCCCGGGCTTATTTTCGGAATTTTGGTGACCCATACAAGAGACCAGGAGATACTGCATGCCGAATTCGGGTGACTTCTGGATACCTTTTGTCTGTGTCAACTAAGAATATACATGTCTATACAGGTAAGTTTAGCTAAGTTTCTCATCACACACTGTTCAGCAAAAGCACAGATAAATATCATAACTTATCGTTTTCTTGTTTACATTCCCATATTAGGGATTTACATTTTACTTGTCTGTAAAGCAACTGGAAATGCTCTCAAGAATTCTCTTGTTAATTGTGATTCTTGCCCTGCCGCTAAATTTCTCTGTGAGGACCTTGGTGGAAGCTGTCCAGTTCATCCGACAGTCATGTGACCTCGGTTCCTTGCCATTTCTCTTAGCTGCCTCACATACTGCACGTCTCTTCGTCCTTGCGCTGTAGCTAGCCCACCACCTTGCCTGAAGATAGCCCAATCATAGACCCTTCTCCTAGGAAAAAAAAATAGTCTTGTTTTATTTACTTTAGTCAAAAAGTCAATACCTCTATAAATTAAATGAATGACTCATTGTTGTCGATTAATAATGCTAGTATTTTATTTAGCTCATTCACTGTCTTTGAGGATGATTTGAACAAGCACCCTGCTTCCAATATTCAGTTTTAATAATAATATTATTGTTAAAGGAAATCAAATGTTAAATTGCCTGACTGCTGGAGATATGTCCAGAAATGCACGCATTGGCGAAAATGGCAGAAATGGCAATTAATCGCCAAAATCGCCAAACTATAAACAAAAATTCAAATGAGATAGCAAAGGGGCCCTTTGCCAAGTGGCGATTTTGGCGAAAATGGCGTATTTGGCGAAAATGGCAGAAATGGCAATTAATCGCCAAAATCGCCAAACTATATAATAAACAAAAATTCAAATGAGATGGCAAAGGGGCCCTTTGGAAAGTGGCGATTTTGGCGAAAATGGCGTATTTGGCGAAAATGGCAGAAATGGCGCTTAATCGCCAAAATCGCCAAACTGTAAACAAAAATTCAAATGAGATGGCAAAAGGGCCCTTTGCCAAGTGGCGATTTTGGCGAAAATGGCGTATTTGGCGAAAATGGCAGAAATGGCAATTAATCGCCAAAATCGCCAAACTATATAATAAACAAAAATTCAAATGAGATGGCAAAGAGCCCCTTTGGAAAGTGGCGATTATGGCGTATTTGGCGAAAATGGCAGAAATGGCAATTAATCGCCAAAATCGCCAAACTGTAAACAAAAATTCAAATGAGATGGCAAAGGGGCCCTTTGAAAGTGGCGATTTCGCGAAAATGGCGTTTGGCGAAAATGGCAGAAATGGCAATTAATCGCCAAAATCGCCAAACTATAAACAAAAATTCAAATGAGATGGCAAAGGGGCCCTTTGGAAAGTGGCGATTTCGGCGAAAATGGCGTATTTGGCGAAAATGGCAGAAATGGCGCTTAATCGCCAAAATCGCCAAACTGTAAACAAAAATTCAAATGAGATGGCAAAGGGGCCCTTTGGAAAGTGGCGATTTTGGCGAAAATGGCGTATTTGGCGAAAATGGAAGAAATGGCAATTAATCGCCAAAATCGCCAAACTATAAACAAAAATTCAAATGAGATGGCAAAGGGGCCCTTTGCAAAGTGGCAATATTAGCGAAATTGGCGTATTTGACGAAAATGGCAGAAATGGCGCTTAATCGCCAAAATCGCCAAACTGTCAACAAAATTCAAATGAGATGGGAAAGGGGCCCTTTGGAAAGTGGCGATTTCGGCGAAAATGCCAGAAATGGCAATTAATCGCCAAACACGCCAAACTGTAAACAAAAATTCAAACACGATGGCAAAGGGGCCCTTTGGAAAGTGGCGATATTGGCGAAAATGGCGTATTTGGCGAAAATGGCGGAAATGCGTTTAATCGCCGAAATCGCCAAATTATAAACAAAAATGCAAATGAGATGCCAAAGGGGCCCTTTGGAAAGTGACGATTTTGGCGAAAATGGCGTGCACTAATCTTGTATCTTTTCATCAGCCACAAAATAAAATAAAAAAAAAAATTAGCATGTTGGCCTCGTTCTTAAAACGTGTTTTGGCAGAAATGGCAATTACTCGATGAAATAACTAATTTATCAAGACAAATTGAAATGACATAGCAAAGGGTCCCTTTTGAAATGGCTATTAATTGCCAAATAGTTAACCACATATTAATATAAAAATGTTTCCAATAGTATAATTGTATACTAATAATGACAACGCTACTGTAACTTAAGTGTCATTAATCTGTTTTTAATGCTTTTACCTTTAATTGATAACCTCTTGTGATTTGAAATTCGTCCCAGACAAGAGTGTTTGGTCGGGAATTACCACTTATAACTAATTTCTTGCTCAATTCAAATCGAATGGCCAACGAGTTGTATTCGATTATCAGTAAATGGTAATCTTCGTAATGTTAATGGCAACTTTCTTACCAAAAACTCCAAGATAGGTATCCTTAATTTTCCAGGCTTGTAGGCATTGTTTGAATAACGACAGTTCAACATTATATGTTATGAGGAATCCAGGTTGATTCTTGGCTACGCATTCAGATAATTAGATGGTCCGTATTGCCTTGTATATCCATCCTGTTTGTTATAATGGCGTTCAATCGTACAAGTATATATAAACGAGCTGGTTCATTGCAGTTTCACAGAACATGAACGTGTAAGGTTTAGTAGTTGTTATATAGACGCGGCGGCCATGTTGAAATAGTCGATTTTGGATAACTACTTTATGTAAGTGGAAACGATTAGTGTCATTCCCAGCCGACTTTGGTGGTCACTCTATGTAAGGAAAACGATTAATGTCGTTCACAGGGACTCTCAGGCAATTGTTAAAATAGAAGGTAAAAAGGCCGGATGACGTGTTTCGACGAGCATTAGCATTAGCAATTTAATGGAAAACATATTGTACTGAGAATTGGTTTGGTGGTCTCAGCGCAAAAAAAACAATACATTTTCTAAATTTCTGGCCCCACCTCATAAAGCAATAATGGGACACATTTTTTAAGAACGAGACAAACATGTACACTCTCTTTTTATATATCTAGGTTGATGAAAAGATACAGAATTAGTTTGAATGGGATATGTTTTATGAAAGAGACAAACAAGTTATTACTTTGATCCAATGTTTATGTTCAATAAATGCGGTGAAATATGGGGCACAAGTGACATTTCGTGCAGGTTTACATAAAGTGGAAATAAGCGAATTCGCACATTTCAAAATGGCGCATGCAAGCTGCTGGACATTTCGGCTTTCGTTACTTTTAGGGGACCGTTTCTCAAAAGAGCAAAACAAGTAAGTGCGAGAAGAAAGTGAAGAGTTTAAAACGACGGAAGAAGATAATGTGTATAGTGGAGAACCAAGAAAGAATGAAGGGCGCACAATGGTTATCGTGAAAGCATCTTTTAGCCAGGAACCATGCGTTTCGCAATCGCTTTTGATTTAAGGCTGCCTCACAATTTAATGGAACCAATGTGAAGAGAATTGTAACCAGTGAGGATTGTTAAGGTCTACATCGAACCTCAAAAGTTAGAGTGTCCATGGCAAGGAATTATTATGATTTCAAGGACTTGGTAGTTCTCTCCTCGAGTAATTAGTGGACTTGTAAGTCTTTGAAATGAATGAACCATACAAAAGCAAATGATGCTAGTGTGATATTTCAGCGCATCACATCACTTTTGGTAAGTCAAGCGACATCGAAAGTAAGGAAATGTTTACTTAACCTGTGAAGTACATGGCACAAATACATATTAGCTTAACTGAAACGACTTCCATTTGTTGTTTTCAGATATATTTGATTCACTTGTATTTAATAAAATAATGTTGTTTGAAAGTTAGGTAAAGCTGTTTTGTCATATATTTGATTCAGTTGTATTTGATAAATGTCGCCTCACAGTTATTGGGGCCTCTTATTAGGCAAGTAATTTGAACTTTTTTTTAGTACCGTTGCCTCACAGTTGTAAGGACCTCTTTAGTTATCTACTTTGAAGGGGCCACTTTTGGCATCCAATTTGAATATTTTGCCACATATCGCCAGCCCTCTGGCGATTTTTGCCAAAATCGCCAATTTCGCCAAAATCGCCATTTTCGCCAAAATCGCCAGCCTCCAAGGGGCCACTTTTGGCATCCAATTCAAATGGCCAGAGGCTGGTGATTTTTCGCCAGTTTCGCCATTGCATGCATGGCGATTTTTGCCAAAATCGCCAATTTCGCCAAAATCGCCATTTTCGCCAAAATCGCCAGCCTCCAAGGGGCCACTTTTGGCATCCAATTCAAATCGCCAGCAGCTGGCGATTTTTCGCCAGTTTCGCCATTTTCGCCATTGCATGCATTTCTGGACATAAGTGGACTGCTGTTGGATGGAAATTTTGTCGTCTAGGGTAAAAATAATAATTGATTTTAACTTCTAGAGCTGCTATTTCATTATCTTGTTATTATTGTTATTATAGCAAAAGAAAAAATCGTTGTGAATTTGTTAAATACTGTATTTTAAAATGGATAAACAGACATTTGTTACTGATATGGATGCCATGCAAGCAAAGCAAAAATGCCTCCATTATTTCATAGCTTTATGTATATTATAGGACTAACCTGTCAAACTATTGTGGCCCTTTTCCCTCTTCTGCGTACTCATGTCGTACGATACCCCGATTTTTACAACTTGCTCTGTGTCCACGGTCCTCCGACAATCTTTCTCCAACTGTAACCCTTCTAAACATGAATTCCTTGCAACAGTCTCAATCGCTGCGCCAACTTCTCTTTCTCTGGCCTTCAGAGTGTTTTGTCCCACGGCTGGAAGGTTTATCGACGTGAGCAGTGCGTTTACATACCGGCGTGTAACATTCCTGCACATAAACACAGTACATGTACATTTAAAAGTTAGTTATTACACGGCATTATGATTGTTAAATTATGATGAAGCTCGGAAAAATGTTCGGATAAAAGCTGCTAATCAAATAAATATACCTACCTTTGGCAAGTTTGGTGTTTTTATGAAAAATTGGTCGGCCGCGACCAGCACCGGCGGCACGATGCGATGTTTGTGGTTCACGCATTTACCTCTCCACATTCCGGATCGCTGCACATAATATACAAAAAACTACCCAACCCAGAGATAGTCTCATCATGGCAGTTTGATAGCTGAAGTGCTTTTCCACACGCTCGGCAACCACTATCCAGGGCTCTGGCCAGCACGTCTAACTCGATTACTCGTCTGCCTCGAAAGTTGCAGCTGCCGTCTTCGATGCATTTCTTTTTTGTGCTAACGCCTCCATCACCTTCCACATTACAACACTTCCTTGTCCAAATATTTTTTAACTTCTCTCGTCTTCCCTGTTCTTTTGAACTTAGAAAAAAACCTTTTTTATCTCTCGACTTGGTGCCAACGCGACGCCGACGGTAGCCATCTTGAAAGATTGCGTGACTAGTGTTGCAATCCTATGCGCAGTACAGATGCGCAATGCAATTCAGGGGAATGACCTTAATGAAAACGTTATCAAAACAAGAAAAACAGAGAAATCTTGTCCAATAAACCTCTCCGGCAAAGGTGTGGACATGGTTGCTGACTGCTCAATCGTACTCTACTCGACCCTTTGGCGTCAAGTTTTTTCACGTTTCTTGCCAAAGAAGGAGCAATCGGCTATGTAAAGTTGAACTGAACATTCTGGTACTTTTAAGTCTCACTAATTTTTACAAAACCAGAGACATGTTTTAAACACTGTTTAAGTTAAAAAAATTGTTTTTATTGCAAGAATGAAATACTTTTCACACACGTCCCAAGGACATTCCTCTTAGAAATTGGCAGGGGCGGGAAAGCCCTGGGGACGAGGTCGAATCCTGACTCCGTGTAGAAAGTTCTTTCTTTTTTCCCCATTTATAATGCTCTTCAAACAATCATCAGAAAACTATCTTTTACAACCCACGGATTAACCTTTATGTATAGTATTTTATAGGTAAGAATTGATTAGAGCAAGATACACGGCTGTCAGAAAATAGAAATAAATAAACTATCTTTGCAAGGACAACTAAACTGGAAACGAACATCAGAAAACATCGCAAGATAAAATGTTAAATAGAGAAATAAGAATATCTCTGTGCGATTAGAAATTTTTTACATGAAGAAAAGAGAATGATACTTACATGATGGTAGAAAACTTTCCCTTTTTTCCTGCCACAGTAGTTATTTTGCCAGTATGATCCAGAGTGTGACAGAAGTATTGACAAGACCTTAGGCTCGATTTCCACCGTCTCCCAATCCCTTGGGGGCTCATTTTCCAGCGCAGCGGCTTACAATCGAGCCTAACAAGACCTTGGCGCTCGCAAAAACCTGCCAAGTAGGTGTCCGTGCCTTGGGCAGATTGTCATTTTAGTGTTAGCCTGTGTACACACCACCCCCACCCCCTCGGAGAAGGGGCCCCTTCTCCGATTTTTTTTTTAAGGGAGGAGGGGGGGTCTGTACACAGGCTATTAGTGTCTATGCCTTGGGCAGATTGTCATTTCAGTTCCGAATACCTACCAAACCTCTACTCTCGCTAAATGAGTTCATTCAGTCATTGACTTTGCTATACTTAGACAAGTGACAGCTGGCTAAGTGCGACGTAATATCATTCATTCACTCTGCGACCAACACATTTCCCTCCACACCCCTACTGGGACCACACTCTGTCTTGACGATCTCGCGAAAAGAACAGCTTTTTTTTTCACAATTGATCTCTTCGGCGATTTCATTGACATAATTATATTTGAAACTGGCACCTGTTGCATTATAATTCAATTAGATGGAAACCAAAACAAGATCATCTTGGGAATACGGATGTTATACCCTAACAAAACCTAAAAACTGAGATAATCCCTTTTGCGTGTATTCACTGAAAAAAAGAAACTGTTTTTCCCGTTTCATTCTGCTACCGATAAATGCTTTAAAGATCTTTGAATAACTGAAATTTACAGCTAATTTGCCTTTTGCAAAGATATACATGGATTTAGATAGAAAAAAGTGTGGGGCATTTTTTTTTTTTTTCATAGTGCCGTGTACAAACATCTGATAAGCAAAAAAGAGTGCCCACAAATTTTATTGTGGTGACAAGAGGACTTACCTTGCAAGTTAATTTTATTTTTAATTATTATAAATAACTACCATTTAAAAAAAGATGATAATATAATAAAATTGATCGATTCAACGCTATTGTTTTTTAATCAACCGCCCCTCGTTAGGAATGCGTGACAGGCCACAGTAATTGAATTATTTTAAGCCACGCAAACATATATCATGATATATTATTCAGCTGCTTCTTCCTCGTTAAACAAAAAAAAAAACAGACCTTAAGGGGATTCTAAGTGATGGTTCGTGTTTTTCAGTGGAAAGGAGAGTTATTTTTCTCCTTAGAAACATGAAATGTGAGGATTATGTTTCATGTTGAAACGACGCATCTAAGGCTAATTTGCATACGGAGAATGAAGTCACGTTCATCGTCGACAAGAAAAAAACCAAGAAAAAGCGATTACTAAGTTTCCCCTCATGCTTGCGAAAGTCCAATATTTAAAGGGTCTAATGACAGTTAGTGATAACTAGAAACGTTAAAATAAAGCTGTGGAAATTAGTCGACCAGATGCAGACCGTTACAATTCCAGCTTTGCTGTCAAAATGGCGAATTTTGGAACATTAACTGAACTTTGTACAGCACGCAAACAGGAGTGCCCACAAATTTTATTGCATTAAGAAGTAGACTGGTCTTAGTACTTCTGTTTTATCACAGACTTGAGTCTGGGTCAGGTGCCACTTTTGCGAAATTACCGTTCAGCTTTAGTTATGCAAATTAAGTTTCCCGATAAGCAAATTAAAGGTCATTTTAAAAAAATCATATCTCAGCCAACTTTCCACAGAATGCAACCATTAAACCTTGAAACTATTGATCAGAGTTAAAACATTTGTGTGTAAAATAATCAGCTTATTCGGCTTTGTAAGGTAGGTTTGCAAGAGCCCTAAAGTTTCCTTAAAACCGCACCACTTCCGACGGCAAACTGGCTAGTGTTAGGTGACCTAGAAAATCTTTCTGTAAAATAGAGAAAAAATTGAATTAGTCCAAATAAATGTGATATTTCTTCATGGGATAGGATAGTTATCTTCCACTGGAAAAATCAGGGCAATCCGTGATAGACCAAAATTTGCCTTATCGGTTCTTACGCGGACAGCCTCTTAAATGCGTAAATGCTTTCAGAGAAAAAGCAAAATTATATTTTGGAAGGAATACCGAAAATTGGACTATTTACTTTGCGCGATGTGCCAATCATTCCATATATGTTGAATTTGGTCGGTGGTCTTTCCAGTTTGCGACCTTGCGATCAAGGGACTTCTGCCAGCACAGTAGTTCGAAGGTTCAATCGTTAGCCCACACAAATCGAATCCCCTTGTTCTACAAAAAAATATTAGCAACGATTATGCTATCAGGTCTATCAGAACGAAAACGTCACGATTGTTCATTTTATATTGTCTTCATGTGATATGTCGTTACATGGAAAGCTGGTCGCCGTCGCTTCGCGTTGGCTTCTAAAACTTTTCTTTCTAAAATCGAACGATGTACTGGATGCGGTCCTCGGCACTGATCTTGGGGAACAGCGGTGTTTTAAATTCCTAATAAGGCAGCTTGTATCCTTAAACAAAACGAAAATAATTTGCTCCATGTCCGATCGGAAACCGTTCGTTGGCTGTGGTTTCTGTGGTGTGAAGATCTCACCTGTGATTGGTTGCAACACAATAAACATTCCAGACATATTTTAGGTGTTCAGGCCAATATAATCACCGCTGTAAAGGGGGAGAAAGACCGAATATGTTGTCTATTTTGGATATTGGCTTGGAAACTAAGTAATCGGACGGCTGGTGTTTGCAATTTCGGCAGGGGGTAGACGTCAAAGTTTTTATGAGACGAGTCAAATTACTATTTGGGTCGACCTTACTTCAGTTGAGTTCGACTACTGGATCACCAACGTCGAACTAAGTTGAAAAGTAATAAAGGGTGCGAAACATTTTAAAGTCGTTGTTGGAAGCCTGCTTTGCGGAAAGCCGTTTATAACAGACTATTCTCTTTGTTGCGACAAACAGCTCAATAATGAATTAATGAATAAACAGCATTTTACGGGAACCCAGATACCCAAGGGGGCACTTCTGGGAATTCTTGGTGGGGGTGTGCCGTCCGGTTCTCCAAATCCTGACCCTATTTCAGACCAAAAAATGTTATTTTTCACTCCTGTTTTCAGACCTGGCCTTTAAGAAATGATTTCATCATTACTTAGATTACAACAGCAACAAAAAAGATTTCTTAAAACTTATTCCAATTGGCATATTTCTTTTTCTTTCTTACTCATTTGGGACTAAAACAATAAATACGTTGGTACACTCCCGTAGTTCCCTCGAAAACCATACCCGATTCCAGACCAAAATGGGCAAATTCTACAAAATATTCATGCTATGGCCTAAAAAAATTCATACAAGGAATTTGATAACGAAAAGAAATTCCTGCGGCTCGAAAATTCCCCTCCCAATCCTCGAATATCTTTTATACCGGCCCTCAAAGCCATTACACACAGAGAAAGCTGGGTCCGAAGGTACCGGAATGGCTTCGAAAGTCGCACGGCAAGAGTAAACCTAACGGGGATATGGATGAGGAAACGAGCGCAGAGGGAAAGGAGCGACACAAAAGGAAGGCATTGCAGAGCTTTGCGAAAGAATTCGGACGCGCTGTACGACAGCAACGAACGAGAGGGAAGACCAAAGAAAGAACTGATACACTTGCACTTGCTCTGAGTATGTTCAGACGGAATGCGTCAGCACATGGAGAAGTCGATCTCCTGAAAGAGGTTCAAGGGAGAGACAAACGAGTACACTTTATCAATATCAATATTGTAGACCAGTTTCACGACCGACGTGAAATGTTTGGTTGCAAGAGTCTCTTTGGAAATAAAACATCTGTGACCCACACAGATAGGACATTGATTAACTGAACAAGTTATCCGGGCAAGCAGATATTCGTAGGGGACAGGAATTGGAAAGCTAGAGGAAGACCTTAGTTCAGAAGTACCTTACAGTGCCGTTAATTCAACTAGGGACCAACCAGCGCTAGCTGTGTTTGCTGTTTGACTAAAAATTTATTTATTCGAATTTTGAATGGAATGCTTTCTTGTGATTGGCTTATAAACCTCCGGGTGGCCTAGCTCGTATGAGCAACACTGAAAATAAACCTTGTAAACACTCTTGATGAACGTTGCATCCGAAAAAATCAAGTTTCCGCCGCAAGATCTTTCAAGATGTACGATACTTAAAGTGAAGTAGACTACTGTTAATG